GGGGGGCCCCGAGTACATTCCATGCACCAGCCCAGACGGTTCTGCACAATCGAGCCCATTAGATACGGCCGCGCCCTGCCCCCGCCCCGCCCCCGCCCCGCCAGCTCACTGGGGACAAGATGTTCCGAGGTGTGAGCTGATCTGGGGGGACTTGCAGCTGGCAAAGGCTGCTCCCCACCCCCCGAGGGGGCTGTGCCTCCAGCAGGAGAAGGTTCTCTTTGGGGGAGCTCGGGTTGGAGGTTGCTGGGTGGTGAGGAGGCAGTGGAACATTCTGATAAGTCCCCAGGGACCTCTGCTTGTGTTCTGATGCCCCCGGCAGCGTGAGCTCTGGCCCCTTCTAACCAAATTCTCATTCAGCCCCCCACCCACTTGGCCTCGCCTGATGGCCTTGGCTTGGGAGCGCCAGGCCTGCCCCTCAGCCTCCTGGAAGGCCGTCTGGGGCCTCACACAGGCTCTGCTGACGTGTGCCCAGTGGGTAGCGTGTTCCTTGGTCGGTTAGGAATGAAGGGTCATAAAAGTAGGGGCTGGGGGCTCTTGCGGAGCTCCGGGCCCATGTGGAGGATAATGATTTACGCTCCCTTGAAGGCCTGCCCCGCACAGACTCTGGGGAGAAGCCTGCACCCTGGGCCAAGGACATGGTACCTGCAGGGCTGGGGGGCTGGGAAGGGCTCCCTGGTCTCCCCCCGTCTCCCGACTCACCCTTGCACCATTTCCAGGTGCCCCTGAGCCAGAGGCCAGCCTCCTCACTCCCATTCAGCTTCTAGGAGGGCGGAGGAGCCTCCCCCAGCCCCCAAGCATGCACGCAGGGACCGCACAATCACACAAACCGCATGAGCTCAGCGCCGTTCGGCACAACCTCCTCCCTGTAACATTTTTATTCAGTAAGTGGAAATATTAGGCGATGATGTCTACAAAGGTATGAGGTTAACTCCATACACGCAGGCGGGTAGCAGGGAGCTGGCATCCATCCCGCATGAGCAGCTCCAGAGACAGCTTGAGCTGCCCCTGGAGAATACAAATCCCATTCATAAGACAGCGCTACCCACTTCTAAAAAGTTTTAAAAAGGTCGAGAGGTTCATACACCAACTCCGCACAGCTGGCCTCTGAGAGGGCCCCGAGAGCTGCTGTCTTCTTCCAAAAGCAAGGAGTGAACAACCCTGGGCAGAGGCAGGGCCGGGGCAGGGAAGTGTCAGCCCTCCAAGCAGACAGCCCAGCACTTAAAAACACAGCCCATAAAAACACAGCCCATAGCTGAGGTGGGGACCAGGCAGAAATGTGCTCCCATCACCTGCCCCCCTTGCACCGGGGGGCTCCAAGCAGCGTCTCGGTGCCCCTGGACCTGGAGGCCCGTATGCCTGAAGGTTTGGGTTCAGTTTATTTTAAAAACATACACACAAGAACTTTTTGGGTCATGGAGGGGCGAGGGGTCTGTATACCATGGACTTTGGCTTCGACATCTGAGAGTCCACGAAGCCGTGGCCGCGGTGGGAGGAGGTGGCAGCAGGGAGGCAGAACGCAGCCACCGCTCCCCTGGGGAGACCACCAGCTCCCCGCAGCCTAGGACACAGTGAGAGGAGAAAACGGCTTTATCGCTTGTAGGGTCTGCGAGCAGGACCTCCAGGCACAGGGGTGTCCCCAGCGCTACCTGCGTGTGGCAACAGTGCGGGGCAGCAGGACGGGGGCGCAGGCGACACCGGCGAAGGATTCGGGGAAGTGCAGGTCACGCTCCCACTCATCGGTCTCAGTGTTGTAGACCTGCACGAGCCCCGTGACATTGTTGAGGCGCCAGTTGTAGCCACCCACCACATAGATTTTGCGCTCAAGCAGGCAGCAGCCCGCCTCTGACTGGCCGGCCCGCATGGGGCTGACACTGGTCCACTGGTCAGCCTCGGGCACATAGTACTCGACCGCCAGCACGTCGAAGCAGCGGTCCACGTGGTCCATGCGTCCCCCCAGCGCATACAGCCGCCCGCCGGCACCCACCATGGCGTGTAGCACGCGCGGCTCACTCATGGGTGCCCGCACCTCCCACTGGTCAGCCACTGGATCGTAGCAGTGCAGCGCCTTCTTGTCCTCCACTGAGATGCCATAGCCACCCGACACGTAGAGCCGGCTGCCCGCCACTGCACCCGCATGGCCCCAGGTGCGCCGCTTGAGTGAGCAGGCGTAGCCCCACTCGTTGCGGCGTGGGCAGTAGCGCTCCACCGAGGCCAGGCTGCCAGCACGGTTGCGGCCACCTGTGGCGTAGACCAGGCCTCCCAGCACGTTCAGCTGGAACTGGATGCGGCTCTCCTGCATGGCCTGCAGCCGCAGCCACTGGTTGAGGTGTGGGTCATAGCGGTAGCAGGCGTCCACAGCACCCTCACCACTGCGGTACTGCAGGTGCTGACCACCTGCCACATACACAAAGTTGTCCAGCACAGCAACACAGGTGTGGCTGCAGCCCACCTCCATTTCAGCTAGCTCCCGGAACTGGCGGGCACCTGGCTCAGGCAGCAGGTATACCTTGGCACTGACAGCACGGTCATGGTCGGTGTAGGGTGTGCCACCAAAGGTTAGCAGCGAGGGCACGTCTGAGCGCACGGCCGTGCGTGGTGACTGCATCTCATGCTGCCGGAAGGGCAGTACCTGGTAGTTGAAGGCCTCAAGCAGGTAGCGGCGGCACAGCGCGTCCTCCACCATGAGGTCCAGTGTCTGCACGCTGTCCACCAGCTCTGAGGGCTGCATCAGTGGGAAGCGCACGTGGCCCAGCACCTGGCTGGCACGTGGCCGCCGGGCAGGGTCGTACTGCAGCCAGCGCACAGCAGCGTGGAACAGGTCGATCTCAGCGCAGCTCTGCAGCCGGTTGCTCTGCAGGAAGAAGACAAGCCGCTCAAGTGGCAGGTGCAAGAAGTCCTCCTCCTGGGAGATCTGCAGGAAGTGCCGGAAGGTAAAGGCATCCACTGAGGCGCGCAATGAGGCCAAGTTGAAGGCGGTAGCCATGTGGCCGATGTGTAGACAGGTCTCCACACTCATGGCTGCCTTGAGGAATTCCTCACACAGCTCCACCACCGGCAGCATCTGCAGGAACACAGCTGCACCCAGTACGTCCTGCACACAGTCAAGGTCCAGCGTTACCTCCGCGCTGTAGGCGAAGTCCACAATGTGCCGCAGCCCACGCGCCGACACGCCTTTCAGCTCCACCACTGCCTGACCCGTCTCCCGCATGCCACCAGTGAACATGGCCCTGAAGGGGAAACACACACATGGGTGCTGGGTGGCCAGGAGAGCGGGGGGACTTGTTAGTGCATGCCAGGAATATAGAAAAGAAAGGAAAGGAGAAAGGGAAGGAAAGGAAAAGAGTGCTTTTCAATCCATCCCAAGCTGAGTATCTTCCCTCCCAGGAACAGCAACTCCCGTTCCGATTCTCATACAGCCCCTCCCTATTGGTCATTAAGTTGGGGGTGCTGCATCAAGGGGCCTGGCTAGCTCAGGGTAGCCAGAGATGGGCTGTGGCAACCCCATGCCCACCCAGGGGTCTGCTGAAAGGGACTGCAGAGGTGCCAAGCATGGCACGCTGGAGGAGTCCATAGCCATCTGGCCCCAGTGACGGGCCCCCAGCCCACCTGGACACCAGCCCAGGAATACCCCCTGGCAGGAAGCTCAGGGGTCAGACCCCGACTCTGGGTGAGCATGACTGTTGAAGCTCCAGACACAACCCCCACCTGCCTGCAGGCCTGGGGGGGTCCTGCCTTCCTGGGCTATCACGTAGGGACAGAGAGCTCCCTTTCCCACTTCCCTGGAGGCTGAGGGCTCCCTGGGGGTCACTGCGGTCTCTGGAGAGGCCCAGGCAGCCAAGGAAGCCCCCATGCACAGCTGGGGGAGCCCTCAGCAGCATCCCCGCCCTGCCCACTACATGACCTTAAGCTGGTGACCGCAGCTTGATCTCCCACACTCCTCTGCTCTGGGAGTCGGAGCTGGCGTGAGCTCACTGGGCCATTGGGAACGAGGAGAGGACGTGGCCCAGTCCTCCAGGCAGCATGAGGTTTCGCCTACAGAGCCATCCGGCAGCCACAGCACCCCACCCTCCAAACCCTGCTTCCCACCAGCAGGAAGGGGAAGCTGGGGTGCCTAGGAGCTGGGACAGGTCAAGGCCCCGTCACTGGGCAGTAGCTGCTTCTATGGTCCACATGTGATGCATGAGCCACCACCCAACAGACGTCTGCATCCACCATCCAGGGTGGGTGGGTGGGCTCAGCCATCCCAGACCGAGTCCCACGATCATCCCATGCCCGCTTGCTTGCTTGCCAGCACCCCATGGCCGCTCCCCGTCCCCCGATGCCCGCTGTGTACACCCAGGACAGAGGCGCCCAGCGGCACAGAGAGTGTTGCCTTTTAAGGTGCGGCTGGCTCAGAGCACCACGGAGTGTGAAGGGCACTTTTGGCTTGGCTCAGCCTCCCCTTCCCCAAATCCAGAGTAAAAATAGATCCATGCCTCCCCAGGGGCCTCGCTGATCCTCCGGTGGCTGCTAAGGGGCAGAGCTGGGCACACCAGGGCTCCCCAGGGAGAACCACCCATGGTGGGGGCTCTGGCCAGTCACCAGGCTGGGAGCGCCCCCCCACCCCCCCGCCCAGGGCCACCACACACAAGTAAAGTGTCCCTGGCCCCATGACAGCTGCACTGGCGAGGAGAAGGTCCCAGCCTGGCTCCAGGCTGTAGACAGACTGCTCACCCCAGGCCTCGTCCATCAGGTGGAGGAAGCACCCCCTAACAGGGTTACAGAGAGCATCCATGTATAGGCCCTGGGCAGGGGGACGGGGAGTGGCTGTGGCCCAGGTAGCCTGCCCATCCCCCACAGTCCACTCTGCTTTGGGGGTCTGCATGGGACTGGGATAGGGGTCCCTATCATTATCTGCTGGGCCCCTAAGACCTAGGCCCACCCTGGTACACAGCAGGCATCAAACAAAGCCATGCCCTACACCCCCCAAGGCAGAGGCTGCTAAAGGGTTACCCTTGGACCAGCTCCACCCCCACACACGTCTGTGCAATGCTTCCAGAAAGTCCAGAGAAAGTGCAAGCCCTGGGACAGGTGCGGGTTTCACACAGAGACCTGGGCTTCTCCTAGGACGCCAAGGGCCCACCTGCCATCCCTCCATACCCCTGCCTGCAGCCACACTCACCTGAAGTAGTCACTGCAAGCAGCCAGGACCACCTTGTGTGCGTGGAAGACCTCAGTGTTGACAGTGAGGGCCACGTCGAGCAGCTGGCCCTGGGCACGCAGAGTGGCAAGGCCCTGCAGGAGGCCAGCACTGTGGCCAGGTGCTGAGAAGGTGCACTTGAGGGCCCCGTTCTTGTCAGCCATGCTGTGGGGTAGGCATGGGGCAGCAGTCAGGGTGGGGTCCCCAGACACCTCTCCCCATGGCTCTGAGGGCCCGCCCTCACCCCCCACCTGACCCGTCTTTCCAGGTGGGACTCTGGCAGGCTTGTGGGCCCCGACATTGCCCCAGTACAGGTGAGCTCGCTGGTACCACCAGAGATGCAGGGACAAGACCCGGGGCCACTGCGCTCTGCCCTGGCTCCCAGCCTAGAAACCGGGAGACAGGAGGTAAACAGTCCCTGCACAGGGCAGGTGGTAGCCAGGGCTGGGAGGCGGTGAGCAGCAACCCCCCAGGCAGCACCGACCATGAGGGCAGGGATGAGGATGGGAACAGGAGGGGGCAGCCCAGTCTGTTGCTTGGGTGGGGACGGGTCCTCCTAGGGGCCTGGGCTCCTAACACCTCTGCCCCTCATGTGTCCAGCATTGAGCAGAACAGAGCAAAGACTAGGGAGGGCAGCGATGATGACCATAGTTCCCCTTGGTGTTTCTGGAAGAGTTTGGATCTGGGTGTACTGGGTGGCTGCCTGGCCAGGGGGGCAGGGGCCAGGGAAGAGGCTCAGCAGAGACCACTCCAGGCCCGAGACCCCTGCAGGGGACAGGGATGTGGCCGGCTGTAAGGCCAACAGGATGGGGAGGGGTGTCAGCCCTAAGAGGGTACGTGTACCCCCAGGGGCAGCTCCATAGGGGTGAAATGCGAAGCAGATTCCTGTACCTCCAATGTAAGGACTAAAGAGGCAACGGCAGTTTCAGTATGAAGAGTAAAGTTTTAAAAAGGAGAGGGGTAGAAACAACCCAAGTGTCCATGAACAGATGATAGATAAACACAATATGGTCCATCTATGCAATGGAATATTACTCAGCCACGAGAAAGAATGAAGCACCGATATACGCTACAACGTGGTTGAAGCTTGAAAACATCATGCTGAGTGAAATAAGTCAGACACGAAAGGATAAATACTACATGACCCCACTTACGTGAAACCTCTAGAATAGGCAAATGCAGAGACAGAAAGTAGTTTAGTGGTTGTCAGGAGCTGGGGGAGGAGGGGATGGAGAGTGACTGCTAATGGGCATGAGGTTCTTTTTCTGGAACATTCTGGAATTAGATAATAGGTGATGGTTGCAAAACATTGTGAATGTACTTAATGCCACTGAACTGTACATTTTATGTTATATATATTTTACTACAATAAATTTTTAAAAAATGGGGAAAATAAAAAAGATCTCTACTGTAGCCACCAGCGCCTTGGCAGGACAAGCCCTCTGTGGCACGCCCTCTCACCCTCACCCCTTCACTGTTTTGCTGAATGAATTAATGAATGAGAAGTTTAAGAGGTTATAACACATCATTTCATTCACAACAAGTCAGGAGAGGGATGCTGGGTCAGAACTGCCCCCTAGACCTTCCCCAACAGTGCCCTACCCCACAGGGCACCCTGTCAGCCCACCATGCCCCCCAGCATTCCGCTCCCCTCTAGGCCCCAGCCTCTGGAACGCAGCTTCCCGTCCCTGGGCCCAATGCCCACCCACAATGAGGGCCAGGAATGTGGGGACTGGCCATTCCAGGAAGGTAGGGGGAGGACGCCCTGGCCGTCACTGCCCCCAGCCCAAAGTCATGCCGGCCGTGAGGGCTGGCATCACAGGGCACACTGCTGGTGCTTCATTGTGAGCTGTTGCCAACCAGCAGCTGCCCTTGCGCAGGCCCCAAGGCAAGCCAACCACAGAAAGCAGCAAGACGCACAGAGGTGGGGGACCCAGCCCTGGGCAGGTGGGGGCAGGAGGGCCCCGAGGCTCTGACCTGGCCTGAGTGACCTCTCCCCTGCCAGACAGGGGGGACGCCCCATGCACTCCTTCTCATTCCCGGGCACGGAGTCACTGGTGCAGGGGTGCAACCGGCTGACCTTGGCCTGGCCTAGCCCCACAGCCTGAGTCTTCCCCTGCTGTCCACACCATGCCTATGACCAACCCCGTGTTATGAGGACCTCGAGGAGAGTATCATCAAGTCACAAACCCTCAAGCTGTGAAAAGACTCCCAGAACCCCTGCATGGGGGCAGGAAGCCACAGTGAGGCACTACTTGTCGCAGGAACCCCCAGGTTCACCCAGGCCCTCATGTAGGGCTCTGGGGCTCACCTGGCACCACCAGTTACCCTGGACGATGATGGTCGGACACCCCAAGCTGCTGCCCCAGCACGGCTGGGTGCCACCTGGCCATGGGCAGGCTCCAGAGGGCTGGGCTGCAAGCAGGGCCTCCGGGACACCAGCACAGGGGGCAGGGACACTGGGGAAGCATACTCGTGGTCTGACACTGGATCTCTCACCCCTGGCCATTTGGTCACTTGCCATTCACTTATTCATTCATTCAGTGGCACTTCACCAGGGCCTGCCAGGCGCAGAGGGCAGGGGCAGGGGTATCGCCTGAGCCAAGACAGGGTTGTGGGCGGGGAGTGGAGGCAGGAGGCCTGGGCACACCTCAGATAGGGGACAGCAGTGGGGAACCTGGGGTCCCCAGGTGGCTCTGCCCACAGCCCTCAGACTTGCACACTGCTGGGGGGCCTGGGTGTGGTGCATGGGGCAGTGGTCAGGTCCTTCCAGTGGTCACACCATGGGGCCGGCTTCTGTGGGGATCATCTGAGCCACGAGGAACCCTGAGAGGCCCACAGCCTGGTAGAGGTGGGCGGGCGGCAGGGTATGTGCAAAACAGGGCAGGCCGGGGCTCAGGGCAGCACCCACTTGCTTGGCCAGATGCCGGTGCAAACCCAACTCTTGACTCTGGGGCTGGTTTTCTCGGCATCAGTCAGGGCTGGGAGGACTCGGACGTCACAGGCTGCCGAGAGGATCCCTGGTCCCTCCTGGGGGACAAGTCCCCACCACAGGAAGGCCACTGACCACCGCCCTTCCCCAGCCTCGAGCTGACCTGGGCAGCAGCGAGGCCCAGTAGGGTCTGAATGTTTTCACTGCCACCATATAAGCCACTGCATACCCCTCCCACTGATGCCCAGGAACATGGGCAAAGCCACACACAGTAAGAAGGCACCAAGTACCTCATCTGGCCTTGCCTGGATGTCCAGCCCCAGCCCCACAGACTGTGTGCACGGGTCCCACCACCTTTGCCATTTTGCTTTCCGTCAGCCTCATTTTTCCATAAAAGTTCTGCAGGGACTGCAGGCAGAAAAGGAGGATTTCCAGGGCTTTCTCTGAGCCCTCAGGGCTGACACTCACATGTGATTTTTCACAAAGAGAAAACATTTCACATTCAGGCAACTTCGTCACAGGGCCACTGAGTCCTGGACAAATATGGACTGCGTGCCTCAATATGTAGAGTACCAAAAACTCAATACAAAGCCAATAGCCTCATCGAGAAGTGTACAAAGGGTGTGGATTGGGCATTCACAGGAAACACAACCAGCCCAAGATGCCTGAGGGTCACCCGCCCTTGTGGTAAGATGCACCAGGTCACTCCTCCCTCCAGCAGTTGCTGGCTGCCCAGTGTACACAGGAGGGGAGGGGCAGACACTCACCCTTGTACCAGTGGGGGTAAAGTGGGACAGCCACTGAAGGGCAGCGTGGCCAGTGTAGCAACACTCTAAAGCCTCCTGTCCTTGACCCACCAACTCGACATATATGGGCCTTGTTAAAGACACGCTCAGGTGTGTGCAAGATGGCAGGAGGGCCTTCACCACAGCATCGATTCCAGGGGCCAAAGATGGATATAAGATGGACTGGGTTGGATGGTGTGATCATTAAGGTTGCATGTCAACTTGGCTGGGCCATGATTCTCAGTGGTTTGGCAGTTATGATGTAGTTTAGCGGTTGTTTAACAATTAATCACCTCCATGATGAAATCTGATATAATGTGATCACTTCCATGATGGGATCTGCTGTGAGTAGCCAATCAGTTGAAAGGAGTTTCCTTGTAGGTGTGGCCTGCATCCAATATAGCTGGACTTTCTGGCAAGGCTCACAAGGCTTTTGCTTGCTCTGGATCCTGCAACTGGCTCTGGTTTATCTGACCTCTGGTCCTTAGGACTTGAGCTAACAGCTTGCCTGCTGATCTTGGGTTTGCCACCCCCTGCAGCTAAGCAAGTCGAGAGAAGCCTTCAGCCTGACCCAAGGACTTGGGACTTTCTAGCCTCTACAACTTCAAGAGCCATTTCCTTGATATAAATCTCCCTCCCTCTCTCTCTCTCTATATATATATAAGTACATCTGTAAATAGATAGATAGACGCTTCACTAGTTTTGCTTCTCTAGAGAACCCAGCATAAGACAGATGGTGACCCCTAAAATTCACATCCACCCAGAACCTTGAGTGTGGCTTCATTTGGAAATAGGGTCTTTGCATTGTAATGAGTTAAGATGAGGTTACACTGGAGTAGGGAGGGCCCTAAATGCAATGACTAGTGTCTTTATTCTAAGAAGAGGAACATTTGGACACAGACACAGAGAGAAAATGTCCATGTGAGGACAGGGGCAGAGACTGGAGTCATGCGGCCACAAGGCCAGGACTGTCTGGAGCCACCAGAAGTTGGAAGAGACAAGGAAGGATCCTCTCTTAGAGCCTGTGGAGGGATAGCAGCCCTGACAAACCTTGATTTTGGACTTCTGGTCTCCAGGACTGTGAGAATAAATTCTTGCTGTTTTGAGTCACCCAGAATGTGGTCTTTTGTAATAACAGTGCCAGGACACTCATACAGCCCCTTCACAGGGGAAAAGAAGAGGCACTCCACCAGTGAGAGCAGAGGTCATTTGCACCGCCTCCCTGGGACAGGATCCATGGCACATGGCCTGGAGGAGGGGGGTGTGGGTTTGAGGCTGTCCATACCATCTGCCTGCATGGCCAAGGGGCACATCTGAAGGGCCAGAGAGTTGGGCAGGTGCTACCTCTGAGGACTAGGGGGCAGAACGGCCTGCAGCCCCTTCCCCACTATCTTTATAAGCCTTGGAGAAGGGGACACAGGGAGGCAGCAAGCAGAGGGCCGCTGTG